AAATTCATACCTTAAGGCCAAAAAGGCCTGTATACAAAGCTTAAGTGGAATTGAAATGGTTTGTAACCTTCCTGCTGGCCTTCTGCCACAGGTGTGAACTCCAACCTCTGTCCAATTCTGGCACTTGAAAAATCCTTATGAAATAGTGGTTATCTAACCATGCAAAATGACAACTTTTCCAACTTCAATTTTTCAGTCACTTCTACAGCATGTTCATGTATACTAGCCTATAAATGGTCAACATGTTTTTCTACATTTTTTGAGTTGTAGGAAAGCACACTAGTACAACAGTATCTAAATACAACAAAAAGGTTTTTTTCTATATTTAATTTTTTATATACTTAAAAAAAATCCAAGTTTTTCAGCCAAATATCAACTCTTAAGCATAGTTACCATGCCAAGTTTCATTCACAGCTCATTTGTACAGTCCTGCTTGAAATCCATGAGGAATAAAATACTCAGCAAGTGACTGCTGAAAATGGTGTATTGCATTCTATCAGTACCTGACACAGAATATCCTCTTTTGTGAAGCTTGTGTGCCAAGAGAGGCTCAATCTTTAAAATATAAAAGGGGCTTCTTCATTTGCATTAGTTATCAAACTATTGTGATTCACTGAACAGTAGGCCAATTTATAAACAATGAGGTCAATGGAAAATTACCACTAACTTCAACGAATGCTGGACAGGACCTTTAGTAAATCAGGAATAAACCCACAACGTCAAATGTTCAAGAATACTGTAGCACAGATTGCATTTTTGTAATTTATCCCCAGTGATCTAACTGTAATTGTAATGAAGCATCAGTAATGAAGCTTCCTCATAACTGACTGCTATTCATTCTTTGCTGAAAAGTAGAATAAGACTGAAAATATTTTAATGAATATAATTAGGTTGGGAGTTTTGTAGTGAGAATTAGACTCTACTACATAATCGCTTGGTTCATAAATTGTGCACAAGAGCGAGGGGAGAAAAACTGGTAATTCTGTTGATGTTTATGGCATCATCATACACTCCATAGGACACTTTTCTACTTGACTTACCATCCATACCAAACTTACTCCAAAAGTAAATCATATTGTAGAATTAAAGACTTAATTACCTACACTCTTAAACCTGAATAGATTTGGTGAATTCCTTTGGTATGAAAAAGAAATACTGTATCACCTCATTAAGCTATCACTAATTGATAAACTGTGCGCAGGTTTGAAACAAACTTTTCCATAGACATTAATGAGAATTTCTATGCTTTAACAGATTAGGCCAAAGTATTTTATTCCATCACTACACCACTATGTTGTAAAAGACACTTATAGCAAATAATACTATTATTTTAGAGCAGCTTTGTTGGCACACCTATTTTTCAAGCTTCCAGTAGACAAGTCTGGAAATTGGTTTCCATGATACCCAACTGGGCCAACCTTAGGGCAATAATATTTTTAGTGAAAGTGTCCAAACTTGACCACAAGGATATGCTATGTATTTGCTAGTGCCCCACAACTCTGGCATACAGATGTACTGACTGATTAAAACAAAAAAAAACAAACAAAACACAATGGCAGACAAATTTGTATGCCTTTATATCTTCCTTGATAGATGTACAGCAGTTTCTTAATATCAGGGTTCAGGAGCAAGTATCCTGCAACTGATCAGTAAGGACCTACCCATATCACAAAACTGGGCTCCCCCTGCAGATTTTGCAGAGAGAACAGAGGGGGCAGGAGCCCCTACTTAAAATAAAGTGTTGGTGTTGGCCCCCCAGTGGGAGCCAGCAGTCCTCCCAGCTGTGCAGCCTGGCAGGAAACAGGCTACCAGCAAGAAGCCAAGAGGCAAGGTAGCGACCGCCCCTGCCCCCTGCTGCTGATTGGCTGAGGGCTGCCTGTCATATAGCTCCACCCCTTTCCACCAATGAGCAGCAAGGAGTGGGGCTACATGACAGACAACCCTCTCCACCAATCAGTGGCAGAGGCAGGGCCACCAAAGCCCCTCAGCCAGAGGCATGGGGAGGGCCCTGTTGCAATAAGCCCTCAAAAATGGTGGCTTGCCCCTCAATCTGCCCACAATATCAGCCAGCTGCTGCCTTGACTTGGGCAGACCTCTACTGATCAGACTTACCCTCATTTTTTGATGACAAGCAGAAGTCCTATGGCCTGAGCATGGCCTTCACACTACAGGTTGGGGCTGTCCCATTCCAGGGTTGGAGTGGTCTTTTTCAAAGTCTTTAGTGCTAGATCTACTAAACTAGCTCTCTCCTCAGCCAAATAATTCTGAAGTTAACATAATCAGTTCATTTGAGTCAAAAGCAAGATCAGAGACATTTTATTTTTATTTGAAATGCATAGGAGGCATCCTAAACTACCTGTCTTCATTAGCCTTATAATTGTATAGGCCAGGGGCTTTCAACCTTTTTGAGTTAAGTACCCCCAGTGGCCGGACGCTGCGTGGGGCAGGAGGGTGGGGGGGAGGAGGCAGCACATGGCCAGACATGGAACAGGGAGGTGGGGACAGCGTCCAGGGACAGAGTGCCACTGCTCTCTCAGGGGCAGGGTGGGGAAGCTCACTGGGCTGGGGTGAGGGCAGCAGTGCCCCTCCGCTGGGTGGGGAAGCCCACCAGGCTGGTGTGTGGCAGTGGCAGATACCACGTTCCAGCTTCCCTGCCCTGCAGAGGGGTGCCACTGCCCTTGCCCTGCACCGGTCCTGCTCCTGGGAGGTGGAGGTGCTCCATCCCCACCTACCCACCCACACATACCTCCTAGGACCAGTCCAAGTACCCCCAGGGGGATGCGTACACCTGGCTGACAACCCCTGGTATAGGCCTCTGGAAACTGCCACAATTTTTTCCCCTTTGAAAGGAAAATTGCAATGTGATCCAGAACAGCCGCTGTAGCCCATTACAAAGGATTAATTTAAAAGGTTGTGTGTCCACAAATTACAGTTTTAAAAACCAGCCATTGTTTAGCAGCAGTCAGATGAAATGGTTATGATATAAAAGTTGCAGGTCAACATTGCTTCCTATTGTTTCCAAACGCTCTCCATCTTGTGTTGCATGTAAAAATTAGGACCTGGTGCAAAGTCTACGAAAATCGGCAGGGTCCTTCCTTTGACTGACAGGCAGTGGATCAGAGCAAGAACAAGGGCCACATTTACAAAGGTACTTAGGCACCCAGAAGCAGACAGACCCCTAACTCTCACACATTCAATGAAATACAGGCATGCAAAGCACTTCTGAAAATCCTACTAGCACCTTTCTGCTAACTCAAGGTACAAAACCCCTTTGAAAAGCTGTCTCTAATCTTTTCACTTTGGAGAGCTTGTTCTAAAGCTCCATGAAATAAACCAACAGGTTTTAAATTGGAACCCAACTACCTAGATTACTGTAAAAAAATTAACAGTAAAGCAGGTAACTGATACTTTTTAAAATAGTAAATACACCTATTGAACCACTGTCAAAATTAACCCTAAAAAAAGAACAGAATTTGTTCCATAATTATTTATGTGGTATGTCCCTTCCAATACTTGCAGAGAAGATGAGTGTGTTTTCCAACATTTAAACTACTTTCAAGCAAAGGGTCCTAAGCCTGGCAGATCATGGGGAAAATATCAGCTCCCAAACAAAGACAAAACTGTCCACTACCCTGGACCCCTGCTACAGATTACACGTATTATGTTATTAACTGATTCATCATGCAATAAATTTAGACCAGCCACACATGGAAAGTAATTATCATACCACAGAAATAACTGTCCAACTATAAAAAGAGCCAACCAGCTATAAAATTTGTCCTTGAAAATGCGCAACAACTCTATAGCTGCTTTTTATCCAGGTTTAATTTGACTACGTAGCAGGGCCCATGGAGTACAGACAGTGGTAGGTATTTGTAAAATCTTGTGTAAAGGCCTCTTTTATGCGTCAGTTTTACCTGAAAAACATGAATATAGCTGTCCTAGTTGTTAGGACTGCGTGCTGCAGCTTTCCTTTAAGTTCTCTCTTATATTACATAAACGTGTTAGTACCCACCATGCAGTTTATCATCCAAATATCCTCTATGCTCAAAGGGGGAAAATGCATATCACTCAGGAAAGACTGGCAAACCAAAAACTTTATTTTAAATTTGATTTTATTCTTTAAGGTTGCCATAAAATGAAGATTGAGATATTATATGCTGCAAGCATAGTTCACACATTGTTGTGGGCCAATTATATAATGAAAACTCATCAGGCAAGAAACTTAAGAACACATCTTTCTTCTGCTATAAAATCATGAGTATGCCCCTGTAATTGGCTGTACCCAGCCTGTTAACATGGATGTGTGAAAGAATTCAAAAATAGAGAGAGAGAGAGATATATATCTCCATAGGACACAGGAGAATGAAATTTTTCTACTACTCAAATTATCCTAAGGTATTAGGAGTGAAGACAATTCTCGTTTATACTCTGAAATAAGTGATGATCTGCAATTTGCATGAATGTAATGCACAATAAAGGTTAAGTAGGTTTGACATGCACGTGTAGAGCTGGAAAGCACAGCAAAAGTGCAATAGTGAAGCGCCAGGCCTTATTGTAATACAGGCAAGAGATGTGCCATGTTATTCCAAACAGAAATGCAGAGGTATGTTTTAATATATTAAAACAAGGCTGCCCGCTTACCATGATAACATACTTGTTAATTAGGCAGTTATGATTACTACCATCTAACCGATACTGTCAGTGCTGATCGCCATTCATATAGAATTAATTACAAATGAAAAAAAATTCTGAAAACGCCAAGATTTAAGTTAGTCCTTTCTACAATTTACCACTTCTAAGTTTTGCTCGTGTGCAAAAGTGCACAGACACCTCAGATTTTAAAATTAGCCATGTCTTGTTAATATACTGCAGTCTTCAAAATTTACACAGAGCTGCAGTTCTCTTGGTTTTTCTCAAGTGTCACTGATCAAACTTAGCATGACAGCTGAGAAACGATGTCAGGTGCTTTACAGTTCAGTTTAAAAAACATCCTCTACCTGGTATCTCTGCAGTGATTGTCTTGCTGCTCCCTGAAACCTCTTCATCATCATCTGATGAACTCGTGCTTGAGTCACAGGTCAGGTCGCTATCACTGGTACTGCTGTCCTGCAGCAGGTTGTACTTCTTGCGAGCAGCTGCTTCCCGTTTCTGTCTTAATAGCCGGATTCTCTCTTTGTGCTTTTGGCTCCGATGACCTTTCACCTTGGCAACTCGACCATTCTGTTTATCACTAGACTGTCGGTTTTTCTTGGCAGCCATTGTTGACGTTTCACTTTCAGACCTGGATCGTCTGGATTTCCGCCCAACTGCAGCCCCAGACACTCCAGAAGGGTCTCCCTCTACGGTAGCTTCTGCTGGACAGGGCTCATTCTCTTCTGTAGAAGATAGTGTATCTGAATCAGCCAAATGCCCACTAGAAGAAGGGGAAAGCATGCAATGATTAGAAGAGTCACTTTCATAAACTCTGCCTGCTGCTGGTTTATCACTCTCTGTGGATGCTAGCTGAGACTCTGAGGAATCTCGTCTCAGTTCCATCAGCAAGCAAGGCATTGAAGACAGCACTGTCGAATCTGCTACAATGGGTGCACCATCTTTCTGAGCATGTGTCTCTAATTCTATAGGTCCATCTTCGTCAGGAGCTGCCTCTTGTTTTGCAGAGATTTTCAGTGGGACTTCAGTGTCAATGAGTTCTTCTGCTTTTCCTACTGCCTCCATCTTCATTTCAGAGTTCCAAGCTCCTCCTGGTCTCAAATCATGGAGCACGTGGTCTAGAGGACTGGGGGAACTAGATTAGGGTTTCAACAGTGAAGCAACCTGCACAAAAACAAAACAGTAATGACAATTTACTCAAACAGCAGTCACACCTACATTTTTTGGTAGTGTCCACAAGGTTACCAACTCACACAACTTCATTCTTCTGTTTTAGCCAGTATACTACATTACCATTTTGTTTGCAGTATTTTTCTTTCACTCCTGTTTTTTTCTAGATGAACTCAAGTCTGCTATACCAATGTGGCTCAATCCTCTCTCTCTAAGTACCTAGAGCTGACAGCCCTATAATTACGAAAAATGCAGTTGAATTCACTCTTATCACAACAAGTTGGAAACAATGACAAAGGATTTCTAAACTCTTACTCTGAAATGTTTAAGTTAATAGAATATAAACAATATACTTGGAATGTTTAAAGCAATTTTAATATTCCTTTATAGGAAACTTTAGAGCTCACGAACAGAATCTGATCGAAACACCCAAAAACTGCAGTCCAATACCCTGGAAAAAACTATAGTACAGCTCAGTTTCTATACAAGTGAGAAAAAAGCAAGTGCTCCGAGTCTACCTCCTATTAAGCAAGTCTCTAAAACTAAGTAATAATCACAGTAAATACAGTGTCTTCCATCCCAAAGCTACCTACAGACTTCAGGAGGTATACAGCCACAGCTAGACGGAGACAAAGCAGCTGTTTAACTGTGCAGAGCAACGTTACATCGTAACTTCAGACACATTATTAAATAAACCATATCCAACTGAAAGCTGTAAAGGTGGTTTCATGCAACGAGGGCACACCTGTAAAAAGCACCGAGAGATCGTATCAGGCTCAGTGATCAAGAACTCATTTTCACAGCTCATCTAAAGACAACCCTTCCAGAAGTACAAGCTATGCTAGGACACCGATTCAGAGAGAAACACTGCTGATGATTCACTCGCAGAGAATTACCAGCAGTACTTCTTGTAACATTTAAGGTTGCCTTGCAGGTCTCGTATACAAGTATTGACCCATCCTGATTTGGTTTAGCTCATGAATTCTGTTGGGAGAACTGCACAGGATGGCATGGCTGCAGGTAAGAAATTCTCCACCCACTCACTTTCTGTCCCACCTTTGCTTCAAGTTGGTTCCATTATTTCCACTGTTTCAGCTGAAACGTTAAAAATAAGCTATTCGGTAAGCTGGTAATTTGCACTGTGCCAATTACTGTAGGATCTGAGCACCCACAGGGTATTTATAAATAACATAACAATTAACTGTTATTTCTATTTTCCTTTTATCATATTCTTCCCTCTCCCTTTAATTTGGAATTAGGGCAGAATAATAGTGGGGAAAATTTTTCAATCATCATATGTGAGGGTAGACAATTCCATCACAGGCTTCCTGTGTGGCTTTGTACCTCAGATTTTCCCCCTGTAAAACTTCCCTAGCTTGCAAAGGATGCCGCGTAAACCTCAAAGTTCTGTTACCAATCCCGATTCATTTTGAAACTAGAAGGTTTTTATTCATTCATATCCTTTCATGGCTCCCTTAGCATTGTGAAGGAGGTACTCGGATACTAGAGCAATTTGGGGGAGGGAAGGACGTGCATAAAATTACCTTAGGCACCAGTGAAGGGAAGGAATTTTTAATTAACAATCCATTTCCAAAGCAGGGCTAACATTTAATAAACTGGTTACACAAAGAAGGAAATAAACTTGCCATACGATAACGTTAACAGACAAATATGACAAATTAAGATTTGTCAAAGAAGAATCAGGAAAGACAGCTACGAAAAATTGTGTTTTTAAAGTTTGAGAAGGAAACTGAATGCCGAAGATAAAAAAAATGGAAAAATGTATATATAAAAATATTTGCTAGCACTTGGACTGAGTAAAATTAATTTAAAACTAAAACAAGGAAGGGCCTTTGTGAAGCTGGTAATTTCTATAGCAGTCTTACATAGGCATTTCATAACTGTTCAAGAGCCAATTTATGTTCAAAACTATAGCCCACACTTCAGCAACAAGCAAACCTAAAATTACAACTGTGAATAGTTCGAGGTGTACAGGCATTCCCATGGTGCAATGAACACTCCTGTATTTCATATGCAAATCATTATTACTGAACAATCTCTGTACTATACAGCTGAGTAAATGGAAGCATCATTAAATGTCTTATCTAAGGCTACATACAGTATGGTATTGTATCTGGCAAATAGGCAATGGCTTTGTTAGCACTAGGTATCTTGGCCTGTAACTTGTGTATGGGTACAATTCACTGGCAATAGCCCTGGAAGTACCTGTGATATATAAAGGTACATGGGTTTGGGCATTTTCAGCCATGAGCCTGTCTAACATTTGTCTGCGTTAGTTGTTAGCAGTGCCACAGCTGGTGGAGTTACACCACTGGGAAATTACAGACCCACAAAATCCTCATGAAGACAAACTCCCTGCACCCAAATCAGCTGGGGACAGAGTCAGAAAGGAAACAGGATGCCCCTGAGGAGCATGAGCTCAGCAAAGGATACAGGAGTCACCAGGGCAACAGGCAGCTGATGTTTAGCTGCTGATGCTGGGCTCTGCTGTTACTTCTCCAATGTTTGCCTGCACACTTGGCAATGCGCTGGTGTGCTGACGATTCCTCGATGGCTTATGAGAAGTGTGTGGAATAATATGAATTCCATTTTCTTGTCTCCCACAATTTTTTTCTGTTATCTTCCCACTCAGATCAAGAAGGAAAATGCCCCAGGTGAATGTGCCACCATTGACATCTCCAGCACAGGTATAAGATTTCTGACATCTGACCTTTGCAGGCAGATGTATGAATTCTGGGGCCTACTGAAAAGTTGGTGTCAACAAAAATCTATGGTTCTGGATGCAGGGAGCAGAAGTCATGCTTCTATGTACCCCTTTCCAAAGTGGTGATTTTAAGTATTATTATATGCTAAGAGAGGTACTTCAAACTCTGAAACCTGCTGCGGAGTGACCTCCACCAAGCCAAATGCCTCTTCTGCTAGAAGCCTGAAGAGTGGCACTTTAGAGTGACAGGAACAGAGGGTGGGGAGAGCAGCCTCTTCCTTAATGGGATTTCATTTTTCCAGGGAGGATCAGCGGCAAGCATACTGGCAGTTTCACTGAGTGGTCACATTGGGGAGAGGCTAAGAGACAAGAGCAGACAGCTGATGGATAACCATAGCGTACAATGATTCCACGTGTCGTGAGGAAAACGAGTGCAACACAGGAGAAAACTAAAACCAGAAGAAGATATGAATTAGCACCTCTCCCAAGAGTGGCTGAAGGGTAAGGAGAGTACAATTTAGTGATCCAACTTAAGAAATAATGAATTCCTCGCATGTGGCCTAGTTCACTTAGTTCTCTGCTCATAGAACTTTCCCAAGCAGACTGTGCCTTCTTCAAAATCAGCTGAATAACGTGAGCAACACATCCTTGATGAATGTTACTTACTTCACAGGCTAAGGATGAATAAGTTCCCAGTAACTGTCAGAAGTTCAGGCAGTGGTGGAAAAGCAATGTATATTGTACTATTTCTGTTCTATGATCAGAGCAAGTGCTTCTTGTGCAAGTGTTTGGGTCTCTACACTGAAAATTCATTTCCCACAAACGTGGATGCAGATCACTTGGAAATTTCTCTGTGCCAATAAAACTTGACTGTAAAAACACTTGCATAAAGTAAATACAAAAAGGATACAAGTGTGGCCCAAAGCCATTTAAAGGTTTCAATGCAGTATCTGCAAAACACTTTGCGTACTATTTGCCCTACTCATCTGGGAATCAGTAGGGTACAAGGAGATGCCAGGCAAAAATGCAGCTATGGAATATGGCCAAGGTGAACTATGAATTTTGGTAAACATCCTATCAGAGTATGGAATTCACCGTATAGCTCGGAACGAGCTCATGTGAACAATATCACTTCCTTCCTATATATCTGCTCTCTCAGCCAAGCAGAAGCAATGCCCCCATCTGCACACACAATTTTTGTTCTATGCTCTGGTCATCTGGCTGATTACAATAGCTTATACTCAAAATGTAGAACAAACAGTTGATTTAGTTTCTTTAACAAAAGACTGCCAAAGACCCAAAGCACATGCATGTGGCACCCCCTGTGTCTTGCTCCCAGCAGCCTAAGCAGGACCCCTTGCAGGCTAGAATGTTGCCCGCCTGTAATGAGAAACTCGCTGTCTCCTGAGGGAACCCAGGCATCCAGGGGCCCCAGCCCCATGGGGAAGAGGGAACCCAAGTGTCCAGGGCGGCATAATTACCAGTAAATATATTCATTGGCTACAGCGGCTAAAAGAAGCTGATAGCCAATAACGTCATTTCCCTTTTCTCAGTGCTGATCCGACACGCAACTGACACACTGGTGCATCTCTCCTGAAAAGGCTTGGAGCCTCATTAACCCTAGAAAAGGGGGTCTTGAATGACATCTATTCAGGAGCTATGTAGGAAATCTGTTCTGTGAAGAGGGGCTTGGAGACTTTGGGTTTCTCACTCTTGTACCTTTTAGTGGAATTAAATTTAAAAACAAACAAACAAATGAACAAACAAAGTCACTTCACAGAATCATACAAAATTAGGGTTGGAAGGGACCTCAGGAGGTCATCTAGTCCACGCTCAAAGCAAGATCAACCCCAATTATATCATCCCAGCCAAGTTTTGTTGAGCCAGGTCTTAAAAGCCTCCAATGACGGTGTTTCCATACGCACTTAGGGTATACTCATACTTAAAAAAAGCTGCAAAAGACCCTCCTATAGAGAAGATGGGTAGTTCTGTTCAGACATTATGCCAAGGAAAAACAGGTTGGGGGTGGGGGGGAAGGGGGGGAAATGTTCTTTTCATTATATGCAATGAAGTACATAAAGGAAAGACAAGATTATACTGAAATATTCCCACTGTTTCCCATTTATTACTTTCCTGGAAAGAGCGCTGGATGAGTTCTCAAGGTAACCTTAAGAGACAGTGTAGCTGGCTACCTGTATCAGAAAATCGCAGCACTGAGAAGTAGCTTGTGAAGCATCACAGACTAAAATGGGTTTACTTATACAATGTTCAGGAATTCTATTTAGCTTAAAA